TGCAATATTTTCCATACTTAAGTAATTCATCCCTCTGAAAGAAGAAGGCGAAGCAATTTTACCAGTAAACCAGTAAGTGTCTAAAGTTTAAAAATGTCACTAATAAAAAACTCTAAAATTGATTTTAAAATCACAATTACTTATGTATACAATAACAATACTTACAAATTCAAGAAAAACAGGACTGATTTGTCCACTATTACAACCTTTCTCTAGCTTTCCAACAAATTTTGTGTGAGTTCGAAGTATCTCCTGCAAAAACAGTTATCTTAAGTCACTACTATAAAATTCTTCACACATTCAGTATGACAGTAAACACAAAACTAACAACCAATTGCATACCTCTATATTGATAAAGATCTTAGCCCTGTCATCTGGTGACAACATTGATTGTAACTTCTTGATAAAGTGCTGTGGATAACAAACCAAAATTATTGTCACTTCTCCAGAGAATAATCTCTATGTAATGAAAAACATCGTGGTTGTTCATTGAAGCAGGGTAAAATAACAGTTATTAGTAATGCAACATTTTAATTCATCTCACTTCCGATGGCAAGTTGTTTTTTTCAACTGTATCATTGGAATCTTTTGCTTGTTGTTTCATAAATATACTGTACAAGCAGTCACTTCAGACCCTAGTTGTTTAGTATAATCATATAGATACATACACAGAATAATCTCTCTCTGGTGGATATAGCAATACATTTTGTTAACCCTTATCCACTGGAGAGTGATTTATTCATTAGATAAGTATAACTACCTTTTGAACAACTGGGCCCTTTATATGTATGTAGTAAATTATGTACCTCTTGGATCATCTTGAGTGCTTCAACATAACTCTTCTCGGTTTCAAGAAGCTCAGCTACCACATAATTTCTTTTTTCTTCTATGGAGGTCTGTCTCTCTGGCTTCTAATAATGTTTTTTAGGGAGAAAACAGAGTAAATGATAGAAAAAAGCCAAGGACATACAGGTATATGCAAATGAACCACCACATAACTAAACTGTTCTTACAAATCATACAATGATATAGCACATCATCAAACATACCGGAAATCTCTGGTAAGAAACAAGGTCCTCATAAATTTTTGTGCCTTCTTCAATGGTTACTGCATCATAGGGATTTTCTTCCTCAGTTATATCACGATCCCTGAAGATAAGTAAAAATTAGACATCTAAGTCTTATATTACAAACAGAAGGGTGTTTTTTTATTAGTTGTTGGGTATCCACAGTACTTAACCCTTTAAACCCTAAGAGTGACTAGGATCTAATTTCTCCTTACAATATCACCTCCTGAATCAAACATTAAGGTCATGAGAATAAAGGAAATGATCACCAACCATAGAAGCTCTTGATTTTCAAACAAATTCTCCTTTGTTAGCCCCTCAGGAAATGTATAGAAAACAGTATGGAGAATATGCATCCCGATGTAAAGGGTTAAAAAACACAAATCCATGTTGCCATGCATCTGTTCAGTAGTATATCATATATGATGTCAAGATATAATAAGAATAAAAAAAGTGCATGCAAGGCCCAGCTGAGTGAATTACTGTTTTTCTAACCACATTTCAATGTTTTTTTGTGATCTATTACTGTGCAGACACATAGAAACATGGACTTTATTTCTTTTACAACATTGTCTTTGCATTTGTCCTCCTATACAAATCCTAGCTAAGAAACTACCTCAGTTCCATCAAAATATGTTCACACTTAACTAACAAAATGCACTTGTTAAGCTTAGTTTATTAAATAATTTTGATGTCAAGGATACCAATAACTTAAATTTAATAATACTTACAAAGCAAGATCTTCAAGATTTGAATAAAGATCCTCATCTTGAATGTCATGTCCAGAATTTTCAGGTGGAAATGGCCTGCATGAACCGACAAAACATTTGAACCTCAGCATAGCACAGTTAAAAGAGAAAAACTCTCAATGGTATGTGGGAATTCTATCACAGCAAAGATTCCCCCAACAATTTAAGCAACAGGCATTGGAATTTCAGACAGAAAATACTCTGATTTCCCATGCCTGATAGACACCCTGAGATAATCATCTAGATACATTAATTCAAAGATAACTTTTGTTTAGACAAAAAGGAGAGATTTTCCTAGACCAATGCATGAAGTGATAACTTACTCAAATCCAGCTGCAATTGCAAACTGTGTATGGGAGAGGATTGAAAGAGTTTTAATCACCTGCAAAGAGAGAGAATAACATTAAAGTTGTGGCAGCAAACATTTCTCCCTAATAATCCCCCCTCCCTCTTCCTCTTTCCCCGTTTTCTTCATCCCTCTGGTTGACTTTTGTTACATCAAGTGCATGCTATCCAGGAGTTTGATCTGTGCTTTCATTCTGTTAAATTAAACTATATAGGATATATGGATTAAGGGGGTAAGTTTCTAAAGAAACTGTGGTGCTTCAAAAGTGGGAGAGTATAACAGGGTAATTTAGTGTTAGCATCTGAGTTGAAAACATAAATTGGCCACCATAAAGAGCTTAAAGGCTAACGTTTCAAGCATTAGCCCTTTGTTGGTCCAATCACTCTGAAGAAGGGCTAACTTTCAAAACGTCAGCCTTTTAACTCTTTACAGTGGCCAATTTACATTTTCAACTCAGTTGATAATACTAAATTACCCTGTTACATAGCAGGGTATATCTCCATGGAAAGCTAATAAAGACCATGAAAGTCTCATTAACATGATAAGAAACTAAAATTACTATTTCCTCATATGAGCAGGAAAAAATCTGGTTTTCCTGGTAGACATGCTCAGGCTAATGTCAACAAGGATATTTAGTAACTGACAAAAAAATACTTTTAAGGGAAACAAAAGAACACAACTGGGACACACAGAGCTTTTAGCCTTAGCAAAACAGAATAAATGCTTGTGTAGTACACGAGAGGCTATTGCTCATCGTTAAATTTCGTAACAACACTAATTAATGGAATATGAAATAAAAAACTTACTCAACATAAACGTGTATAGACACAACACCAAGTCTAATAAAATATCGTAATACAAGAGCTTTAAAATTATAGCAATGAACTGATAGGCTAAAACGTATGCCACCGAATGAATAAATATTGTGTACTTTATTTACCCTTCCGACCACTGTCTTCAAAATAAACACAGATAAACTGCACATTTCCTCACACGAACGATAATAATGGTATTGTATTACTCAAAATAATATATGTATTTAGACGTTCCGGCATCACCTCGTTGTCAATAGTCGCGTTTAATCAATTTAAACACCCTAAAAGTTGCTTGTTTTCAAAGTCACAAATGCGCATTATTATACTACTAAACCAAGGAAACACTTTTAAAATGAAACTGACAGTGATACATAAGCCCCCTCCAGGAGAGGAATACCAACAGGTTACAAGTATTTCATTAATGTGAATTTTAGTTCTACCTCGTTAAGGTCAATGGTAAGGACCTCTAAGTATTTAAGACATCGATGCCTTCATTGATTCTTGTGTTAATTAAGTTTGGACGTAAGCGGAAATTTCTCAACGTAAAATCAACAACTGCAACTCATGGTTCATCACATTTTTGAGTCTAGTGCCTCATATCTGTCGATACATACCTTGGCGAAATCAGAAACATCGTACAGTTCGTTAGCATCAAACAAAGCCTCTGAAGTGAGACCAAAATCCCGTGTACAAGAAGCGAGGAAATTTCGAATATTCTTCAAACAGTAGAACTGTCAAAGCACAAGAGGAAGTGAGGTTACAACTTTCATTGAGAAGGTGTAGCATCACAAAATCAACAAACATCATCAGTGTTTGTGGCTATCGAACGACGAAATAAACAACAGAAATCTTGGCTAGCTATCGTCAATCTACTTTAAGACTACCAGTTGATCGAGTGAGTGAAACGACCGCTGGAAAGCGTGTACAAACCGGTGACATTTGGGGTCTCATGGTGATGTCTGGAACAGAGTTGGGACGCAAACGATTAGCCACTTGACACAGTAAAACACCATCTCGAAGGGACTGAGCCAGTTCAAAGACAGTTGCAGTGGGGTATAATACTCGGTGAAACTGTGGTAAAACTCCTAAACTGTTCAACCAATTGCGAGCCATTTGCCATTCTTCTACGCCTGATGGTATCCTTTGGCTGCGGTGACGACGAGCCATCTTGGTCGAGTAATGTTCAGTTAGCTGAGGTAACAGACCATAATACTACTTCCCTTCATCCGGGAGTCGAAAGAAACCGGAACTGAGTAATCATTTCTGGTGAGTCCATCACGCCCCCAAATTTCATATAAAGTTTTTACAACTACCACACAAAAATCATCTTTTTCCGTCATTTCTGTTCCCAGATCGTTTAAAGATGAATTTAGCTGGATAGTGTCGGCATAGTCGTATGCTAAATACAGTGGCGTCATTGGATGACAGTGCTTGTCGTTGTAATAAGCCAAATTTTAACATTCCTAAACACTTTTCGATGTTTTTCCTGTTGCAAATATCCTGCTGTGAGGAGCGCTATCTTGACATTCATCAAAAGTTTTAATTTCCTTGTCGAATTGAATACATGACGCTTGTTAATGAGGGTAGATCACTTGGAAAACCTTTGAACCCAGATTATATTTTTTAAAATATAAAATACAATATCAGGCAGGCAACTGATGAGAACAGAGAAAAATGTCAATAAGGGGATTATTAGTTGATCCAATACCAAATTTTCGTGACCAACACCATAAGAAATGTGTGGCATGGCGGAAGGTAATGAGAATTACTGATGAGATCTTGGGAGTGAAAGGGTTAAAGGTACAATGAGCTTACTACTCCACTTGTGAGATTTAAACTATTGTTGAGCTTAATTATTCGGCGCTTTGGGGCAGTAAACTAAAACCAATCAATCAAGTTATTTTTTTACAACTTTAATATGATGTGGTGCCGATGACAAAGGTGAACAACGAAAACAATACTCATATGTTACGTACGGTTATATGACTTTTATTCCTTCAAAAAATACAGTATTAAGCGTTCGCTATGAAATGTATCGGTCGATCCATTCCCTGAACACTGAAACTCGTGCAAAAACCGTAAACATGCGCATAGCATTACAGTCGTTTGAACCCCAGCTAACTGCACCTTGGAGTACCCAGAATCCCCCGGAATTTTTGCAGACAAAAGGACCGCCGCTGTCTCCATGGCAACCACCAAGTCGAGTTCCCGGAACTCCAGCGCATAGCATCGCTCTTGTTATGCCATTACCATCTGTGAAGAGAGAAATAGACGCAGGGATAAACATAGTCGTAGTTTTAGTCAATTTCGAAGCAATTTTATGGGGTAATTCTGGAGTGAAGGAAGATGCTTACTTTTCCTTTTGCAATCCGACTCTGACACAGTAGATATCTTGGCTTGCTGTAGTGTGTGATGAGAGTTACCAGGATGTCTAATCTTGCCCCAACCTGTAAGAACAATGATAAAAATAAATAATAATAATAAAAAACAACAACAACAACAACAAAAACAATGGAAAAAAAGAAATAAAAAGTTCTCCTGGCATGAAGCGTGCGTAACGAACAGAGACCTACCGACAGCAGGAATACAATAGCTGACACAGACTTACAAAGCTGACACGCAAAAGTATTGCTTATTTTATAAGTGTAATTTTTGGTCAGCTTTTCTAGCTTGTTGGGGTGAACTCATCGGTAACATGAGAAGTGCAATTCAGTAGTTATTTCGATATCCGCCTATTAATCCAAGTAGATATAATTGTACGTATCGTTTACACTTAAATTTGACATACAGCCCTTCCTTTTGATGGAGATGGTATTTACTCGGCTCAGGCTAGCCCTGTTTGCATCAAACTTCCCCTTAACATAAAACTTACGACTTCCCGATCTTTGGCATGGCAGTTTGGTTGTTGTCGTTTCGACAATGATATTTCGTTGCTAATGATATTTTCTTACTTCTAATGGCCCCTGTGACTTCTTTCGATTTGGCTACAAACTAAACTGACCTGTAATGTAACACGTTGTTCCAGCAGGCACAATGTAGTTTGCTCGGGGAAGACAAGCGGGCAACACTCGATCGTTAATGTTGGCAGCACGAGAAAGTTTGAGTAGAGCTATGTCGTTATTAATCCGTCTGCTGTCATATTGTGGATGTTTGATAACTCGTGACGCTCCTATATTCTGCTCTGTTCCCTCATTTCGGTGTCGGTTGTGATCTCCGAGCCGAATAACATAATTAGAGGGGTTTCTGTGCCAAAACAAAAAAAGAAAAGACATAGCATACTTGTTATGTCATAAAAATTACTTTGTTTGTAAGCAAGTTTTCTGGATAAAGTATATTTCCTCAATACCGAATTAAAAAATACGATTAAATTTACAGGCTTATTTGATTCACTACGGGGAAGCTTGTTACGATTTTCACAGTTTGAAAAAAAATCCAGTGTAGTTGTCTTATCTTTTTCATTTACAATCCCCTAGTGTTTCTAATTAGAGTTTAGTCCTCCCTGTTAATTAAGCCGTCAATGGCTTCATATTTTAAGGGCAGTTTGTTTGAGATATTGACGTTGTTAGTTCACCAATAGTGCACTTGACGCTTAGAGTGTCACGCAACGCTCTCACCTCTCCTCAGACACATGACGTATTGGGGTTTTGAAGAGTTCTTTGGCCAGCTTTTGAAACCAAGGCCCTGGCTTCGAATTCGAGCCCACCAAATAATGCTATTTAGGTGTGAAAAAATAAACCAAAACTGATGCTATAGACGATAATTTGGTGCCATCGCAAACACCGCGATCACTTTTTTTTTTTAAATAAATGCAACTTACAAGGTTGAAATGCAATGCGCTGCCGTGACAACCCAATATGGTGTTACCAGTGTTCCACCACAGAAAAATCCTCCTCGACTGTTATGTAAACCAACCTTAAAGAGATCATACGAATGAAAGTAAACCTGTTGGTGTAAAGATATTTCATCGACGCAAAACGGAAAGTAAGGTTTGTTAAGTGGTTAGCCTGCACCAGGTGTTCAGTTTGTAAACGGGACTCGATAATAGAGCACAAAGAAAAATGGCAGAAGTTTGGGTCGGCAGGGTTACGCGCGTTTACTGGCTGAACTCCCGGAGGGGGCTGTCAAGTTGCAAACCTGCCATGGCCAGGCACCCGAATTAGCGTCATCTCCTCCAATCACACGGCTGCTACCGAGAGGGGCAACACCGCAAGAACCTAGTAGAGGCAAAAGGCATGATAACGTTTGCGATGTAGTAACGGATTTTTCTGAGTTGGCTCGAAGTTATCTAAACTTTCATCGACTCTCATCCGTCCCTAGGAATCTCTTTGAAACGCGAAGTTCCACCGACAGACCGTTAGACACGTTTCTGTCAGCCTTTTACATTGAATAACTGTCATTAAAAATTGCCATGTATAACGTACCTGAAGGAGGTTGATTTGTATTAGGAGGTGGAGGAATGTCAGTGCCTGGGGGTGGGGGTGGTTTGGTTCCTGAAATATTAAAAGAAAAAAGAAAAAGAAATAGAACATGAATAGTTTGAGCTAGACTTGTTTCTCGTTCACCATTAAAGTGACTGGAGGGTCTCAAAGAGGTGACGGCTTTTACGGCTAATGGTTCATATTTTAGCCAATTTGCGGTTAACGGTTAACATCTTTCCATCGTTGTCACCAGAAATATAATTACGGTGAACTTTTTAAACGACTAAGGGTTAAAATTTGCCTAAAGGTTAAACCATTAGCCGTTTTACGACTAACAGTAAATTCCATAGAGATATATCCTCCTACTGTTGTCGAGTTAATGATAATTGAAAATTAAATGTAGCTTATTTACACCAACTCACGTCTTACAAGGGGCTCCCACAGAAGGTAGGACCACTGGACCAGTTAGGAAGGGAACCAAAATTCAAATTACCTGTCTACAAAGTGATAATGGCAAATATCTTCAGGCTCTTTTTTTTTTTTTTTTACAAAATCACTCGATCATTCATTCTTCATTGTTGTTATTCATATCCCATTCTGTATTCTAGTGATTTATAAGGCTCTGAGTCAAAGTAGGAAAAATAAAGAAAAATGAACAACGTGAACCCATAATCGAAACAAGTTTTCATGATTTGAATCAAACTGTACTTAGCTACACGATACCATATTGGGGCATGTAAACAGTGCTCTTTTATTAAGAAATAGAACATGGATTTCCTTGCGAATTAGAAGATAATTTATAAATACCTCCACTACATAGACCGCAACTCTTTTGACACTTCTCCCGGACAATATCCATTTTCTCGCAGTCTCCTCGAGGGACGTGGTAGCTGCAATACTTGCCAGTGTCACGGCATTCACCTAAATATATAGGAGGGCCATTCAGTCAAAGAAATTACATTCGTAGATTGTTTTGTGTGCAAGCTAATTTTATCGAACGTTTGTAACACTTTTCTTAAGTAACAAAGATTAATTTTTCCTGAGCAAAAAAACCTGTGGATCAGTAGGCCATATTCCGGATCAAGAGAGGCAGGCTCAAGTTCTGGTCGGGTCACTGTTTTGTTTTCTTGGACAGACATCTAACTCACAGTGCTTCTCCTCATCCTGAAGTGTTCGCAGGAATACAAATGCGTGTATGTTACCGGTACACGGTCGAAAAAAAGCCTAACGAAACGCTGAGTAATAATTCTTCGATAATCCGACATCGCATCCAGGAAAATAAAATACAACTAATCGTTTCCTAGTACTGAAACCGGAATATGCTGGTAGGATGGGCGTTCTGGAGCTCGAACCTAGATCGAGTTTAACACGCTAATCAACCACTAGACTAACACTTCCTGATCCCTCAAACTGCAGAGATAAAATCTGATGAATTTCATTCAAATCCAATGTGTACTTACCTGGGGGTGGAGTTGGTGGCATATCCGTGTCTGGTGGAGGAGGAGGTGGCATCTCTGTGCTTGGAGGAGGAGGGGGAGGAGGAGGTGCCTCGGTATCTGGTGGCAGGGGAGGTGGTGGATTAGTGTTCGGTGGTGGAGTTCCTGAAAAGTGAAAGAGAAAAAGGGGTATTGATTAACGATTTTTCATGAGGAAGGCTCGAGCTAAAGCAAAGTTTAATTAAAGCGTGATGCTCATGCAGTACGTAGTTAGTATCCAATACTGAAGTCTCTTCCATTGTTCTTCGAATATTACCTTCTGAACACAGACCACAGCTTTTTCTACATTTCCGTCTAACGATATCCATCCTTTCGCAATCTCCACGAGGAACGTGATAGCTGCAATACTTTCCAGTGTCGCGACATTCTCCTAAAATTAAAAAAAAAAGAAAAAAAATTCCAAGTGATTCCTTTGCCAGCTGTGCGTCATACACAGGCAAACTACAGGGAACTGTGGCTCCTGCCGAAAAGTTCCGTGAAATGTAAGCGTTATAGATAAGTAAATTGTAAACTTAAAGAAATAATGGAGACATATCTTTCGACCTTGAGCTGCACATATACACAAACCTGGTGGTTTATTTGTCGGAGGGGGAGGGTTTGGTCCGCCGCCACCTCCAGAACATTTGTACAAAAGTTTCATCTGAAGAATGTCAATTTTGCTTAGGCCTCGGCGGTTTCCAAGTGTTACCTGCCAAAAAAAAAAGAAAAAGTCAGCTTTTGCATCTTATTTTTAAACTATCCTTGAATGAAGATTAGAAGATGAATTTCGTCGGCTTTTTACAGAACTGACTTCGCTTCAAATCAAAACCGATAAAAAAATTTTTCAGTTGTGAAATTACGGACATTCCAACGGTCAAGATGTATCACTTAGAAATCGTGCCCCCCCAAAAATTAATGTCGATAAAATCACAAGAGCGGCAGATTTCAGACATCTTAAGAGGCGTGTGTTTTGGATAGAGGCAGAAATATATACAAGCGTTACTAACTTCGATCTAGTTCGAGTTGAAGCAAGTTCTTAAGATATTATTCAAGTTTCTTGGCGGTTTGAACGCCATACAGTTCACGAGCCACGAACTTAATTCGAAGGATTCGAATTTGGACCGACCCGATTCGAAACTAGTACGCCTATCAATTCAGACGCAGACTTCAAAAAGCTGTTATTGCCATTCCTAGCTTAGTTCCAGTTAATAATCGCCGTTGCAATATTGTATACATCATACAATAAATTTGTCATCCAACAAACCCCTGATTTCTTTGCAACAATAGTTGGCCGTCCATTTCTGCTGAAAGCTCTCGTGTCATAATGCATGACACTTCCATAATCATATGGTGTTCCCAAGGAATCAATCGTCGATTTGCTATATTTGTTGAAATTGAATTCCATACCTATGTGAAAAAATTGATAATATCACTGCGAAATTGTATTATGATCATAGCAGGTATTTGCTGTAAATAAGTTTGGTTAGAAGAACTGGGGAATATGTAATATGGCGTATCGTATTTACTCATTTGAACGCCACCGTAAATCCAAAGCTGCTCTCAATCAAACGCCAGAGATACGGAAATGATCGTGTGGTCCGATCGTCCTGGTGAGCACAGGTCTCCCAAGCTCACGTCTCGAGACGCGAGCTTGGGACACCTGTGATGTGAGTGTATTGACGTTTCATGACAACCTCATCATCAGAGTTAAGTCGTAATGTTACCATCAAGTTCAAACTATAAAGAATGTATTGTAAAGTGTATGGCAAGAGTACCTCGTACAATGTTTTGTCGGTAGATGGTTACATATTCATCTCTGTCAGGCCTGGACTGTTCGTGGTAAAAACCGAGAGCGTGACCTATAAACAGCAAAAATTTGTTCAACGGTGACCCTTAAAGAACGGTATCTTATTTCATATAAGTTATATGTCGGCATCGGCGTCGTCTTCGTTGTGAATTTAATTCCGTAAAAATATTGATAACAACAATTTGAGCTAGCTTCAGAGAAGCTTAGCATCTTACTTTTAAAATTTACCCACAGTCAAATGTGGTAGAAGAATTATATCAAGCTAATGATGTATATATTACCAATTTCATGAGCAACAACTCCTACGTGTAAACATCCTCTTCCGAGAGTGATGGCCTGCCTTCGTCCAGTCTGTCCAACCATTGATGAACACCTTTTGTTCAAATTCATAAATAAAACTGTGTAAGAGAGAGTGCTGTAATTGATCATCCGCTGTTAATGCTAAAATCATTGTTAATAGACATTGCTTTAAAGATGTTCATCATCGTTTATCATCTCCTCTAAGAACAAAAGCTTTACGAAGCCAGCTCACCAATACCTCTTCCCCAAAAACCCGTAGAAGCAAAAATCATATTATGTCGATCAACCTAAAGTCGTATCCAGGTGTACTGTATCTCGTGATGTACAATTAACAATTGGTTTAAGTGTCAGCGTGCGGTCGAAAAAGGGAAGCAAGCGTAAGTTTGGAGAGTGCAAAATTAAAGCTGCGTAGTGGCTGATCAAGGTTCAACCGAGAGCTATCTTAGCTTCTTCAGTGTTCTTCAAACTTCACTAGTGCTTCCATGACCATGAACGCGTAGCTTACATAAGAATCAATTGTTAATTGTAAATCACAAGACCTAACACACCAAGATACTATCTTAAGCTGAACAAGAGAATCTAACATGCTACAACAATTTAAGTGTAATAGGTCCGGAAAGTTTCGTGAAGATGAATTACGCCTACGGCACATCAATGTGTGCGTACCCATCTTCAGTGGGCAAAATGGATATACGAAGCACGCACAGGCTTGCTTCTGACTTCAACTAGATAAATTAGAAATTCGTGTAGCTGTATATCATAACTACATGCATATTATTACTTATGATCCGTCAAATATTTTCGCTCGCAGGCGATTCAGTCTAACGCGTAACGTGACCGAATATGCCCAGCTGAAATTGGGAAATATCCGATGATATTTTCAAAGTGATATTGCTCAATTTTCAAACTTCCCGTCAAATGCAATCACAATATTCCGTTAAAAGTTGATCTAAGGTGGGAGAACGTTTCGCTGTTTGGCGCTTTGCTTACACTTTTCCTCGAGCTTCGCTCACAGAAAACTGTTTGCTACTCAAATCAAATGATGTCCGTGGACAAATATGTCCGGCATATTTTTGTCCCAAATTTGGGGCTGTTCATATAGATAGCGAATTAGTGTTACAGGATTCACGGCGATTACGTGTGCGCACGCACTAAAACACAGCAGATTTATTCTGATTGGTATCGCTTACCCTCCACCGCCCTGGAAGTACGCATAGCTTCTCTCGTTTCCTCTTCTCTCCCTAAATGTGATACACGTGTTATCAGACCACATCTTCATTCCACTCCGAATAGCGTTCATTGCACTCGAACTCCGGCCTGTGGATAAATGGAAATAATGTAGTAACGCATTACAGAATAATTTTACGAAACTATTTATTTTACACGAATTGCCTGAATAATTGGCGCGAGTTATAAGATTAAAGCAGATGTGGGTATTCTTCTCTGAGCGCTTCAAGTTCCACGTTCACATGCACCTTTCGTAACACGCCTGTAGCACCTGCCACACAATTCAAACATTGTTTCAGCTGTTGGATAAGTTTGTTTTTTCGCTGAGCACTTGTCATATAAGCTCAGAATGTTAGATTTCTCTGATTTATGAGATTCGAAAAGATGGAAAAACAGTGATTTGATAGAGGATAACTCAGAGATGTGGACATGATAAAAGACAACTCCTTAGAATAGCCTATTCATCAAAACAATCATTCCTTCTTGAATCTGGGATTCCCTGCAGTTTACTGTTAATCAAATAATTCGAAAACTTCGATAAACTCACGAAAACTGCTATCGATTTCGTACACCAAAACTCCGCCTGGCCACAAGCCCCTTCTGATGGCGCCACGGCTAGCTGGCGCGTCCACGTCTTGTCCAGCCATTGCAGCAGCCCTTTGTTCAGCCGTAAGGATCATGTCTCCTTCAAAGAGATCAGGATTTCCAACTCCTATGTTCTCTACGCACCAGAAAAAATTGAAATGAGAAATTTAAAAAGACTATACAGATCCAATTATAGTATTTTGCTTTCGAAAAGCCAAAACCTAAAGCGAGTCCAGAAAGAGCGAAAAATTAAAATATCAGACAACAGCGAGCACTCAATAGGGGTAAAACAAACAAAAAATATAGCGGATGAAAATCTAGGTCAAAAGTTTGCTTTCGAAGAGGTATTTACTCACGCTGAAGACCATCCCTAGACCAAAAATACTTTAATTTAGCAATCAAATGATCAGAAAAAACTGTATCGCCGCATAATTTGAATTGTATAAAAAAATTCGCATTTCTGTTGACGCTTGCGAGACTGTGTCGGATTGTAGTAAGGTGGCCGCCTAAAAGAGGAAGGAACTCTTGCAAGGGAAGTTCTAACTATGATCACATGACGGGTAAAAGATAGATCTTGTCTGAGCAGTCGCTTACTGGAGGAGGTCGAGTTCACCCACGAGAGGTTGTGGCACAGGGAGCTTCGTACGAGTTTGCTTTTCTCCCTCTATAAATAGTGATAGGCTACGCTAGAATTTACTGCTTTGCCACAAGAGAAGATCAAGATACAACACTTCATCATTCAAAAAAAGCTTGAGATTTAAATAAAAGCGTTGCTTGGTTTTTTTAAGATTTCCGTTATCCACTAATTGGGGAGTGATGCTAAGTAGACTATAAGAACACTTAGTGTGAACTTCTTCGAAAATTGGATAGACGTCCATGAGTTATTCTAGTGAGCTCAGCTCTTAACGCGATATGGGTATTTATTTTGATTCTCGTGAACTTTCAAAAACTGAAAGTGATTAAAAAATAACTGAAGAAGTTGGCAAAAGATCACTTTGATCATGGGATCTCCTAGCTTAACCTCCTTGGTTTTTCGTTCTTACCTTCCGGATTGTAACTCAAGGCACCGGCCAAACACACTGCAACAACAATGAACAGCAGCATTTTCTCAGCGATGCAAAATGGGACTTGATCAAAAAATGTGCACTTTATATCCAGTTGAAGGAAACTATCTTATTGCTGCTAGAACGCAGCAGTGAATGACTTCTCTCGGATCCAACTAATCAAGCTGAAAAAGCGCCCACCCTTCTGTATCAATAACACGTGTGTGCTGTTAATCAAAGAACGATGCGTCTATTTACAAAGAATATGACCCGGGAACTTCTGTATTTACAAGGACATGGTTTTTGTCAACACTGGAAAGAAAACATAGTGAAGAGCGACAGTAACTGCTCTTTTTATCGTTTTATTTCACCTTTCGAGATGTGTGTTGCATACCATCTTTCAACAAACGACGCCTTCTAAATAAATGTTCCTAGCTCTATGCAGGGCTTTCGTCGCATATAAATTTGATATTGCCCTTTCTGAGGGTTAGGACAGTCACTATCCGGTTCTTTGAAGCTCAGTGGTGTAGAAATATGACCGTAAATTCCAAAAGTCTGAAGTTTTCGAGGTTGCGTTACACTCCGTACTGCTGTTTCTAGTATTTAGCTTTCTCAATCCATTTTTTTCTTAGTACCTCTCTTCCTTTTCCTAATCTTTATCAGGCCATATTCCACTCGCAACCAAGTGTAAACGCAAAGACCGAAGGAACAGCAGAAATGCCGCCGATTACCCAAATCTGATACGACAGACGTGGAGGCAAATCGTTGCCTCATATCAGGGATTTAGCTTTCAAAATAAACTGCTCGGATTTCTTTTCAAGCTGGGATCATAGAATATGCATATACCACCTTTGGTGAATGTAAATTATGTCCCTCTCAGCATGGTGCATCTTCAGTTCGTTTGGTTGACAGTCCTTTTAGTTCTAATGAGTTCCGAAGATATGTTGAAAATTAACGTATCACAGTCTTGAATCCTTCCCTTGTTTTCCTCACTTTTTTCACAAGGCACAGCAGTCATCTAGATCAATTTTTTCTCAATTTTATTCAGTTGTAAAAGATACAAGTTTCATAGTATAGCGGAATACATCTTTATACTAATGCTACTTGAGTTATGATTTAACAGCTGTAGGTTATACATAGTTTTTCATCAGAGAGGGAAACACTAACTACTTGAGATACTCAATAAGCATTTATAAGACTAAAACTGGGTTTCAGTTTTAAGCTTTTCGCGTGCAAGGACTGTCTCAAAATCTAGCCAATATAAGCTGGTGTTTGGTCGATCATTAAGATCGCGTGATGTGTTGTTTATAACCATATGGAATGGATAAAAGGCGTCCGTGCGTTGGACATCGAACTTCTGATTTTCGTTCCTTTTTATTTGGTGCAAAAATATCGTTCTTAGCCTGTTTTATGATCATGTAGCAAAGAATAACGTAAATGACGAAGTTAATGAAGTACATAATGTAGTCAATGTGGATTTCCATCGCCTGGAAAGGAACAAAGAAAGTTAATAAGCTGTCTCCAAACATCACATTCATATGTTAAAATTGTTCATGGTCTTCATGATGTTACCTAAAACATAGAATTATATGACAACTTAAAAGAGCGACGCAAACATCACTTGTATCCTCGATCGCAAAATTGTAACTACCTTTAAATCTTAAGTTCCACACAGTTGCAATTCTCCAGCTGAATTTAAGACGAAATTCGGTAAGCTGGCAATAATTCAAGCCTCTAAGCTTAACACTAGGTGTTGTAAATCTCATGCATTTAAATTAAAGAAGAAAAGAAAAACTTACCAATGGAAAGGGCAAACGGTTGTAAATGTTGCCTCATTTACGGTGGTGTTGACGGCATTATTTGCTGATGAAGACGATACTAACGTTTGATTCGCAGCAGAAAAAAATTAAAGTTTGTGGCAAATTAAAACTGAGCAGATGAACAATTTTACTCGGACTCATTTATCAATAACTTGTTGGGAAATCTTTGAAATTAGCCACTGTAGACAATACATCAACAAGTTAATCGCAAAGGAAACTTAAAACGTTATTCAAATATTCATTTCACCTGAAGAAATCGTTGAAAATAAAAGTAGTTGTCAGGAGGTTACTCCGTGAATAGACAACCAGTATAAACAATAGGTGGACATATGTTGAAGACAAGCAAGTCAAGTTCTATTCAGAAAGTTCCCGAGCTCAAACGGCGTAACGGTTGTGGCTGGGAAGACAATGTTTTAGACACGAAAGGGAAGACAGAGCTCAGGTTTTTAAATTTCATAAAAAAACGATCTTGTTGAGAGGTCACAAAACTAAATATTATGCCAAGCAAATTCTAAACTACATAAGCAAAATTTTCCGCTTCGAAACTTGGATGGGAGAAGGGCGGGGGGAGAATTTGAATTAGGTGGGACTGTCTCCCCCTCACACGTTTTCGTGGGGAAAAACTGCAACTTCTCTGGGCCCTCACCACTACTTCGTCGCCTCTGCACAAAAATTGTCAGTGAAAATGCACGCCATTCAATTTGCCTATAAATAGGCTTGTATTTTCTATTTAAACTTAGAATGAAATTAATCAAAAAGTTGTGTCCTCAACTTTCACTTATTTCTTCATCATACTCCTATGCTTTGCTATGCCTTGCCGCGAAGACAAAAGTAACCAAAATCTCCCTTGAGTGGCTTTCCTTCGACAGCTCGTTGACAGTTCATATCTTAGGAACTGAGGATTTCCGCTTCGCCGCCGACTTAGTAGTATGGTAGTATGATCTGTAAATGTCTTTCACCATCGGCCAGCATTCTCGGCATAGGAAAACTCCAGCAATAGTGTACACTACCACGATGAAAGTAACCATGACACGGACGTGGAAATCTACCTCCTCTTTTGAATCTGGAGATGACATTGTTTAAGCCCGTTGTTGCACACTGGTGTGGCAGAATTCATCGGCTGAAAATAACGAGAAGAGAATTTTCAGCTCGGTTCCCAGATGCTCTTTCAATGAAGAAATCTACAAGGACAGGATCTCTGATAAGTTTTTGGCGTGTCCTTAGTAGGAAGGAGAATTTGCCTCCGATTGGATTCCTTCTCAGTTCTCTCAGATTTATCTTGTGGGGAAGCGAACGTGCTCTGAACAGCTTGTCAAAATTGATGTGGTGTTTTGCTAAATTTTATCTGATATGTTTTTTTCATAAGTTTGAAGAATCCATTTTGACAATTATTTACTCTTTTATTGTAAAGCAACTGTCATTTTGAACCAATCAGATACCGAAAGACAATTTTCACGGTGAAAAAACTTGGAAAAGGCCGTCGTACTTGCAAGATACGGGCTGAAGTTCGTTCAAATCCATGAAATATGAATGCAAAGTATTGCAAGGGGCCATAAAAAGAAAGAAATGCGAAAAAAGAATAAAAAAAAAAAATTAGCCTAAACATCTGTCCATGAATTATAACAAGAGAAAGGAGTAGTTCCATTATTTTCTCTGGATGTAAAATATGTATTTGTGTACGTTTACAGAGCCCTGACCATAATGATAAATGGACGTTCAATCGTTTGTCTTATGATATAGAGTCACTCTAAGTTTCTCCGGTTTTGTTTATGCGAAAAGAATCAGTGGATTGTGGATGTATGATGGACAGCTGTTTGTCAGCGAGTCATTTTGATATGCATGATGCCTCTGCTTTCAAACTAAGGTAGGTGCATATCTTCTAATATTGAAATGAAATGGAAATTTATCACATGAAAAGTTTGGGGCTAATTAAAGTCTCATTTTAAAAGTTAAGGCCTTTAGAACTTTTAAATGGTCCACTCAGGGAGATCCTATGTCGTAAGACAAGCGATTGAATGTAAATATCTAACAGGAGTATTTCTGTATGACTGGGAAATAAATTTTCTGAAATGAGATCGACCTCACATGAAATCTTCAATTGAGCCCTACAGGCTTACGTGTTGTCAGAGGCATCAAACTGTGGTGGTCTGGTCACTTAAAAACACAAAGAATAACAGCACAAAGATACTACCGCCTTTGTTTCACTGAAGCAACTAATGATCTAACCATCCTACAAAAAAAGACACTTTGAATTACAACTAAAAGATCACTCAGTCAATGCACTGAGGCAGTTCGTTTTGAAATAAAATTGAAGTTATAAGGATAGAGCGAGTTTTGCATGGGGAATTAGAGACGAACAAATGACATGGACTGGGTCTTAGTGCGGGATGGAAGGGAACTGAGTACGAAACTGTTACGACAAGGCATTTATTGAAATTTAGGTCTTAAAATTTCTATTCTTCAGTATCGGAATCAGCAAGTAAATTGTCAGTAAAAAGACTGATATGTGAATTGCGTCAGACTGAGCGAAGGGCTAATGCTTGAAACGTCAGCTTTTAAACTCTTTACGGTGGCCAATTTACGTTAACAACTCAGTTAATAATACTAAATTACCTTGTTGTACTCTCCCACCGACGCAGCACCACAGTTTCTTTAAAAACTTACTCCATTGATTCATTTGTATATACGATAATTTATCATGCACTGTAGCTTTTTTAAGCACGATGCTGCATCGCACTGAATTATCTTATCTGCTCCTTTCTTTGTTGTTGGTAGATGGCCATATCGGATCAATATCAGTATCTGGGCAACTGCCCACCTACCCCTCCCCTACCTCAACAACAGTCAATTGATAACAAGTTAGGGTTAATGTTGGGTTAGGGGAGGGGCAGGTGGGCAGTTGCCCAGATACTCTTATTGATCCGCCACATCGATATAAAGATCTGCAAGGAAAAAGGGAATTGCGGCGAGCCAGGAAAAGTATATATATTTATATAAGCGTAGATATAGTCGAGGTGTTACCCGGTTGCATCTAACATCCTTTTAAACTTTTACAGAAACTGAAATCTATGAGGGACAAAGGGAGGGAAGCTGAAAAATTTAGAAATGATGAAGAAGAATATCACGTCGAAGCTTTGATGAGGTTGATGTAGGGAAGAGTAGCGTTCAATGTTTGCCTGTGTTCTTGTTGTTTGATTTGTTTTGTCTCGTATACACAATCCCCAATGGCCTTAATACCGTTGCACGTAATTGGAAGCCGTTCAACTTCTAGAACGTTCTTCGTTCTCATTCACTAAGCTTCATATCTTCTTCGCTTTTATCAGCTCAGTTTTTCAATAAAATCGTGAATAGCCTCGTCGCACAACATTGCAATCGGTCAGTTGGTGACGTGTTGACTAGTTTCTTTACAGTTTTAGTTGCAAATTTTGAATTTACAGGTTTTCGAGAATAACCAGAACCAATCAGAACACTAAGATTCAACTCAGGACTACCTTGCCACATAATTGGTTATTTGAAATGCAGACGTGTAAGCTGCTCAAGAATTGTTTATCGCGAAAGTAAAATTTTACAAAGTTTGTAACTACGTGTGTTCATTATATATTTGAGTTTGCGTCGCAAAATTTTAAACGGCAAGGCTGACGTGCAGACATGCTAACAGGAGAAGCTTGTTTCCTGTAGTGTTTGCTCAAATTTAATTGGGCAGGTTTTTCAAGACATTGAGAAATATCAGTTTTTTCTCTTACTAATAACACCTCATTTTCAAGCAGTTTGACGAACCAGTCAGGTTCCGATCAAACGTTTTAAGGATGAAACGTCAACCGTTGTGAAGTATAGCGGCATAAAACTGAATTGCGTGAAATTTGAATGCAAAATGGTGTTCGACTTTACTGTAGAGAATGATAAAGCGAAATGCAAAATCAAGGATCAAATGGAGAATGTTTTTATTCGTCATGGTTATTTGGCTCTGGCTGTAATGATAGAGAATGCCTCGCAATATAGAGTCAGTATCAATTGTGGTGTCAGCTTTAACCTGTTGATCGCTATCTGTAACTGATAGCTGACACTTCTTTTAGAAGAAACTCTCTGTCGTGGAACAAACGATTCAATTTTCATCAATCAGAATGTGTATGTCTGACAGGTTTCTTCCAGATACTTTATTTGCATAAGTATCTGAAATTCTAAGGGATCCTATTTGACTTATTAACAAATTCGTTCATTAAAAGAACTCCGCTTCGTCAAATTATCGTTATAAAGTTTTTCACTTCTTCGCTGTCATTGCGTTTCCAGCGGTGGTGGCCTGGACACGCAAAGGACAACAAAAGCTTAAACGGCTGAGTTAGTGTGAGGCCGGTAACAACTAGTAAATCAAGGAACAAAAGGAAATTCTGAATTATTATGGAGAAGTCAATGAGGATATTGGCCCAGAGCCGCTCTTCTTGAAATAAAACTGAAAAAAACCGTGGTTAGCCGCCCGGAATAGAGGGGGCTTTTTTATACTAATGGACCATAAATACCCTGACTTAAGTGACAATTCTGGTTCCCTTTATTTCATCGAAGTGTGAGCAGCTTTACCAAATAGTTCATGTGAAAGATGATTTATCGGACAACCTTCATGAACATCAGTCTACAAAAGCATTGTCAGGAGGGAAACATCAAGCATTTTATAACTTAATTTTTTTTTTATATCAGTTTCTCTTTTCAGCTTACATGGGATACGTGTCCAAGCAGAAAGGCGTCATGAGAGATGCGATGGTTTTTGTTACAGAAACTTGTGTGTTCATTTCCATCCAGAATGACTCGAAATTTTAAAATTTAACAGCTAAACCTGCATAGCTCTGCAAATTTTCAAAAAACTTAGGATGGCGTAAGCCACGCTTGACATGTAAATGTCGGGTCACCGGCTTCATCTATTCTCACCACATTTGCGTATTCAGGTTAACACCAGGTTCCCGAGTAACATTCTTTTATTTCCTTGGGATGCAGGAAAGCAAAAGAATAGCGTGATACGGCCAGCCAAGAGGACCTCAGCTGCCGTTTAGCCAAAGACCTTACTCGCACGTCATGTTATTCTTACTTGGATTCACATCATTAATTTTCTTTTGCCATCGCAAAATATCTATCTAAGGTTACTCTGTCTCTATTTAAGCAGCAAAGTAAATATTTTGCGCATTTTTGGATGATTGAAACGTCATCTGGCAATAAGGCAAACTGGAAATATACGGAAGTATATAAGTCAGACGCGAAAACCCTTAACGGTGTTAGAATCTTTCGGGAAGCAACAAAATCTTATAAGAGAGATACATGAGTCGAAATTTTTAGTACCCTCTTTTGAATCATTCAAGCGGCAACGCTTAAATCTGTTTTGTGTGTTTTACCGTTCTCACCGTGGTTTACCTTTTTTAAAATAAAAAGGCCACTTTCTCGATGAGAATTTTGCAAAATTGTGTAATTCCATTGACATGTCACTTCACCATAGACAATGTTTGCATTATTGTCACTATCATATTCGTTGTAATCAATATTTTTATTATCATTTGCTAGTTAAAAAAGATGAAAGAGCTTTGTCGTTTTGAGTGCACTCAGTTAAGCTTTGTCAGGATTAAAACTAATTTGCGGCGGAAAAAAAGAATAAAATATTAAGGAAATATGTTATCGTATAATCGTCTCATTCTTCTTTGTCTTTCGATTTTAGTATCTCTACGAGCGCTTAATTTTGTTATTTATTTATTTATCCATTCGTGTTTTTTTGCGGATGTCTTTTCTCTCGCGCAATTCAATCCTATAGAAAACCATTACGCTAACATATTTAAAGCTGGGTGGCGGTCAACGTGAGCCAGTCCGGATACACTCGCCAGCTTTGTCTACGCTTTTTAAAAAAACCTGAAATTTTAACGAGTAGGCTTTAGCAGACCGCTGCATGTTTTCCCTTTTTATTCCGCTGGCTGGGAGGTTATGGCGCATGGGTAGCTAAGATCAAGTCACAAGAGGAATTATGTTACTAAGCAGAGCTACCTTAATGTCGGATTAAAATAAAAGGCACCAAAATAAAATACATCATTGGCAGCCAACGAACGTGCTACATTGGCGGGACACGTTGTAATTCTATTCGTTCGATCTTATCCGTTAGTATGAAATTTAACGTGAATTTCTCCGCGGCAGGTGATGATATAAATTTCACTTTATGGTTAGATGTTGACAGTTCTGATGCCTATCAGCCATTAGTCTTGGCACGTTTTGACAAAGACGGCCGACATCTATCGAAACCGCCAACATTTGAGTATGCCAAAAAGACTACCGGCTGCAGGGAAAGAGGCTATGTAAAATAGTTTCAGCTTACTCCAGCCAGATAAAATTCTTCAAAACTTTAGCTATATATGCCTAGCTCTGTAGCTCAAACTGATTGGGATTTGTTGCTGTTCCATGATTCTTAAAATGAAGGACCAATATCATGCCTTTCTTCAATGGTGAAACAAAAATAACTGCAGCAGCAGTGCAAGCGGAAAGATCCACCTATGTTTATAGTAAATTTCTTATAGTAAATTGTGAATAAAAATCAGTTTATTGCGAATTACAGGGGTAATAACTCGATGTTGAACTAAACACCAATATAAAGGCCTCGATATAAACCCCTTCATTCTAAAGATCTTATTAGTAATTCTCCTTTCTGTCTATCATACAGTTTTTTATGATGGTAATTTGGAGAAATTGGTATTGGGTCAACTGATAATCCACTTAATGATATTTTCCTTATTCTCATTAGTTGTTTGTTTGATATTGTATTGAAATCGTAAGGAGAAAATTTGTCTTGGTCAGTCATGGGAGTTTAAGGGTTAAAGAGTCCTCACACTACCCTGGCGGGCCACGTAAAATGTTAGGGCTCAACAACAAATAGAGCGAATCGTACATATTCACAATGTGGACCACAGCCTTTATTGAATTCAAACAATTTATAGATTTTCACAGAATATAATATTGATGATAGCGGCTAAAACATCTACATCTCAATTTCGTTATTTAGGAATGAAATTATGTTTTAACTTCAAGTTAGCTGTGTAGTCTTCACTGCAGTGAACCTATTTCTTTTGTTCCATTCCACATCTCAGCTCGCGAGCTTTTAAGCAAATTTCTCTCCGGAACTGTTGCTCACGTTTCGCCTACAAAGATTCAACAAACATAATCTTAAAATTTCTCTTCAAATTTATTCGAAAACAAAGAAATAAAAAAACAAGACCGTTAAGCTCTGACGAATATTTGGAGTAAAATGCATGAAAAGAACCGAATGACTTCTTTTTACGATTCAACTATTTGGATACTGACTTAACCAGACAAACCGAAGAGACCATAGATTAAAAACCTGTACTTACCTCCTCCAAGCGTCTACGGATGTTCATCTTCATCATTTCTAAATTTCCAGCCTCTCCTTTATCTCTAAACTTTTTCAGAGTCCTTCCTAAAAGAATTTAAAACGGCTTTTAGTGCGAAAAATTACTGAGTTGAACAACTAGGATCATTCAACAATGACATGAATGAAATGATAAAGAAAAAAACATTATTGAAAGATTCCAGCTCAATTTGACATGACTAAATACATAGATAAGGTATTTCTACGCTCAATAATAAGTGTTCCTTATTGGAAATTATCCTTTTGAAAGGAAAAAACATTGCCACTCCTAATCGAACCACTTAGAATATTCAACTCAAATTAAACATTAACACTATCTAAAACATTTTAGGTGGATTGAAAACGAGAGAGATTTCTACTTATTCATGTACTTTTTTTCCATCGCAATTATTTCTCTCAAGGCAGATAGGAATTTGTATCCCACCCTCAACTAACATCGAAGAAAGGAACAGAGCAAAAACACAAAGTGCTGTAGTCTTCATCTCGCTGACACAAGCTTCAGTGAATGAAAAGTTCTGGTATATATATTAATCGCCGGCGATCCAAGATGTTTGCAGCTGTATAAAAACGTTTTACCAGCTCAGCTTGGAGATAATTAACTACTTTCTCAGTCGGCATTCTTCACAAAAATGCGTCGGTCAAAATGTGCCATAGTTTATTTGATAACGGGATTTTAATCAAGTTGTCCAGTTTGCTTTATTGGCAGATGTCAGTTCAATCAATACTTCGCTGCGTAAACTGAGTAACCTAAGACAGATATTTTGCAAAGGCAAAGAAAGTTAATGAGGTGAAACTAACTATGAGTAACATGACGGACGAGTAAGGTCTTTGGCTAAACTTGACGGCAGTTGAGGTCCTCTCGGCTGGCTGCATCACGCTATTCTCTTGCTTTCCTGCATCTTACTGTTAAATTTCAGAAGACTATGAAGGAGGCCATACTAACAACGCTGCTGACGGATTTTTCTGAGTTCAAATAAATCGCACTATTGAATGTACAAACTCGTGTGCCTTTAATGTAAGATTTTGTTGCGTCCCGAAAGATATATGTCTCCGTGAGGGGTTTTCGCGTCTGACTTATATATTTCCGTATATTTCAAGTTGTCATAGGCTATTGTCAAATAACATTGTTGCTGACTTTCTATAAGGATATTTTCAAGATGTCGCGATCAGAAATGATTTTTCGTCTCTTTCTTGATCAAAGTGAATTTCATAGCCGGGAAGGGTTGCGGAACATTTTGAATTCGTTTACGCGCTTATAGTGACATAACTACTGAAGATTAGCGGCAAGGCTGTAGAATACCTCTATCGAAACACAGCTGTCGGGCCTTTTTAATTTTCCTTTATTTTCAAATTTAAGGCTACTTTTGTTTAAAAGGGTGTAGGAATAAAAATCCGCAGCTGTTATTAAGTCTAGAAACGTCTTTATATATTACTGCGACATTAACTTTTAAGAACAATTCTGAGAGTTTATTATTTTCATATAGCTTTTGAGCTCTTTTAAAATGTATAGATAGATAAAGGTTATTTTCTAGGCGCCAGTGCGAAAGGGCGAGTTTCTTATGCTGTCAACCTTAAAATCCACCTACGATGATTGCCTAACTTTTTTTCCTCCACGAAAATTTTTCTACATATTTTCCACCGTTTCTTCAGCTATACGATTTTCATTTAACCAGGTACAGTTTGCATTAGCATCTTTTAGTGAAGTTCTTCCTCCCACGAAAATGGAAACTAGCCTTCAAAACGCAGTCATTTCAAACTGTTTTGTATCGCGGCCGAATGTAATTGGTTGGAGCTTGAGTTACCGCTCAATATTTAACTAGGACTTCTCAAAGAAACTTATTCAAAGTAAGTTTTAACATTCTTCGACGAACAAAAATTTTAAGATTGTGAATATTATTATTATGGTGATTAACTCCTTTTGAGCTACCTCTACAGAAATAGAAAAAAACTTGACTGATACCTTGATACTTGACTGATATAGCCTTGGGTCATATCTGCAAGGAAACAAAAGAACGTTACTCGAGAATCTGGTGTTAACCTGAATACGCTAATGTGGCGAAAGTAGATAAAGCTGGTGATACGAAATTTACATGTCTAGCGTGTCTTATGCCTTCCTTGGTTTTTTGAAAAATTGCAGAGCTACAAGCTTTCATTATAAAAACCATCTCAAAACTTGAATACCCTAATTTTGAATACCCTAAGAAGTGTTAAAATCTAGCATGCGCACGACAGTACTCAAAAAAGTGAAGAACTGGATAACGAGAATTTTACAAAGCGGAATTCTTTTTGTCAACGAACTTGTTACTAAGTCAAACAGAATCCCTTAGAATTTCAGATACTTATGTAAATAAACTATCTGGAAGAAGCCTGTCAAACATACACATTCTGATTAATGAAAATTGAATGGTTTGTTCCACGACATAGAGTCTCTTCTATTGAAGTGTCAACTATCAGTTACAGATAGCGCCGATCAAAAAGGTTAAAGCTGACACCACATATTGAATTCAAACATTTTATTTTCACGATAAACAATTCCGTAGCCGCTTAAACGTCTACAAAACACTAGACTCAATTCTTTTGTTCATTTCACATTCCAGCTCACGGGCCTTTAAGCAATTGTTTCTCTGGTACTGTCGCTCACGTTACGCCTTAGGATTCAAGTTACAGAAATTAAAAATTCCGCAAAATTCTCTATCATATAACAAGGAAGTGCTGAGATGAATCTGTTCTGATTGGTTCTTAATCGGAAACGGTCATTAACCGTGAATTTTTATTCTCGAAAACCTGCAAATTCAAAATTTGCAATTAAAACTGTAAAGAAACAAGTCCGGCAACAAGTCACCAAACGACTGATTACAATGAAGGACGACGAAAAAGAATAAGATCATTTACCAGGCAAATTTTATTTTGATCTGGAAACCTCTGAAAAAAGCAATGGCGAAAGCCAGAAGGCTATTTACGATTTTATCAGAAAAACTAAGCCGATAAAAGCGAAGAAGATATAAAGCTTAGTGATTAAGAACGAGGAACGCTTTAGTGGTCGAATGGTCTCTAATTGCGTGCAACGGTATTGAGGTCATTGGGGATTGTATATACGAGATAAAACAAATTAAACAACAACAACAACAAAAACAACAACAAAAATTTAACACTACTCTTCCTTACACCCAATTTCTTCCGAGAGTCTACGGATGTTCATCTTCATCATTTCTAAATTTTAAGCCTCCCTTTATACGTCATAACTTTCAGTTTCTGCAAAAGTTTAAAAGGATGTTAGAGAAGCAACCTCGACTTTTTCTGCGCTTATATATATATACTTATCCTGACTCGCCTCAATTCCCCTTTTTCCCTGCAGATCTTTATATCGATATATATGGCCATCTACCATCACCAAAGAAAGAAGCAATGCGATAACTAGTGCGATGCAGTTTTCACCCTTCTGACAAAAGCTTCAGTGCATGGTAAATTGTCATATATACCAGGGGGTAAGTTTCTGAAGAAACTGTGGTGCTGCGTCGGTGGGAGAGTATAACATGGTAATTTAATATTATCAACTCAGTTGATAAGGTAAATTTGCCACCGAAAAGAGTTTAAAAGCCGACGTTTCGAGCGTTAGCCCTTCGTCAGAGCTGTTATACTCTCCCACTGACGCAGCAACACAGTTTCTTTAGAAACGTACCCTCTTCATTCATTTGTATACACGATAATTTACCGTGCACTGGAGCTTTTGTCAGCAAGATGAAAATTGCATCGCACTGGATTAGCCCTTCACTCTCCCCATCGTATACTGATGGACAAACCAAGACGAATGCAGCTGTTGAGTAGAGCTCTTCCCGCACAACTCTAAGAAAATTGCTCAGTCATCAGTGAAAGTTCTTCCCTTTACGAACATGTTGATACTCTGAGCACTCAAAATTTTTCATCAATGCTGTGGTTGTCTAATTGTAAAAGAAGTAGCACTTTACGGATCGTATATGTAATTATTTTCTCTCATTGAATGGATAACTTGTATAAAAACAGTAATAACATCTTGAGTTGTTATCTTTTATCCTTTGTTTCTTTCCAACTTAATTTATTTTCATTCTTCTTCTGGTTCTTTTTCCGGTTTGCAAACCTTGAATGATCAGTACTATGTATAATATTTTTTTAAAATATTTTTTTTTATTCTCATTCAGTTCCCTCTTGTATGACATACATAAACTGTGTGCAGCTCGCATTAGCATCTTTTCATGAAGTTCTTACTCTCCCGTTCACGCAATTAAAAGCATCTAGACAATTCGTATTCACTAATATCTACGGACATTACACGTAGCAAGAGTGTTAAGTTTTATCTTTCGGCTGCATACCATGGCCGATTTTGCTTCGGTGGACCCTGGAAGATCGTTCAATGTTTGCTTAAGACTGCTCAAAGTAACTCAGTCAGGGGAATCTTGTTACAATCACCGAAAATAAATAACAAAAAAGACATCGTGTTAATAACACCTGAAAAAAAAATTGATGATAACGAAATATTCACTGACACGAGGAAGACGTGTTTCGCAACTAACGCCATTTCAGTATTCAGTTTTTGTTAATTTTGAAGTATTTCAGTCTTTGATTTCTGTGTAGACAGACAATTTATTTGGGGTAAAAACGAGATTTCAGAAAATGCAAAAGCTTTCATGATGTCCACCTACTTGAATACGTAGCTCTTGTAAGCTAGCAAGACAACAAAAAGAAAAAATAGATACGAACTGATACGAAACTTGTAACCCAATTGATGCATATTTAAATTTTTCTTCTTTTTTTTTTTTGCGATCAGAGCGTTTTGTGGACTGATGTAAAATCAGCTTGTCGATCAAATGATCTTCCTTTTGAACTAAAATGTACATTTGCTCACGCTGAGAGAAAGTCAAGGGTCATCTTTAATAGCTCAATATTCATGGTCCATGTGGGATTGAAGAAAAAATTGAGTGATCCACTCATTATTCGAGGCTCTTCATTCACGCTGCAAGGACTTGTTCCTCTAACATTATTTATTCCAATCCCCAAAAGCAATTCACAAATCAGTCCTTCTACTAACAATTTACTTGCTGATTCCGATACTGAAGTATAAAATTTCAAGACCTCCCAAATTCTAACCATCGCCTTATCGTAACAGTTTCGTATTTAGTTCCCTTTTATCCCGCACTCAGACCCAGTCCATGTCATGTGTTCGTCTCTAGTTTCCCACGCAAAATTCGCTCTTCCCTCATTATATTATTTTAACTTTATCTCAAGAAGAACTGCCTCAGTGCATTGACTAAGTGACCTTTCAGTGGTAATTAAAAGTGTTTCTTTCTTCAGGATGGTTGGAACATTAGGTGCTTCGGTGAAACAAACGCAGCAGTATCTTTGTGTTGTTATTCGTTGTGTTTCTAAGTGGCCAGACCACCAAAGTTTGATGCCTCTAAAAACACACAAGCCTGTAGGGCTCAATTGAAGATTTCATATGAAGTCGAGGTCATTTCAGGAATTAATTCCCCAATTATACAGAAATACT